AAGATCTGTAAGCTTTAATATAACAAACCAGATACTAGGTCAGATCATAGTCTCAAATCTTACAAACGTGCGTAAACAAAATAGCCGCATAAACTACGGTCGACTTCGTTAAATTAGAAATAAAAAACAAACATCAAATACAATAATTACTCCGGCTTACCACTCGAGATGCAGCTCCTGAAGGGTATCAAGTAAGGCCAGCATCGCTTCAGACTTTGCAGCCCTCTTACGAATTAAGCTAGGTGAAAACGAAAACGATGCCATCCGAAATCGGATTTCTGACTTTGACAAGTGACGTATTTCTCGAACAAAAACCCAATAAACAAACTAGCCATGAATAACAGAAGACTCCTGATAGCAGCTGAATTTCATTTTGTACATCCAGTGGAAAAACACAGTTAAAAACATCACAAGTTGACACAAAACCCTGTCGGCTTCAGCGGTCACAGTAAATAAGATTCAAGACGCAGCATAAATTTTCCGCATGAACTCACCTGTCAAATTTTGACCAATCAGAGCATAAAAAATGGACGTAGAGAGTGACCAACGCGTGAACCTGGTGAGAAAAGTCAAAAGCAACTGTCTTCCCTTCCTGTAGCAGCTGGTCGTATTTTCGCGTCCGAGGTCAGTTTGAAATCAAAATTTTGATTGTGCGGCACATAAACACAACATATTTCATATGAATTAAAACAAAAAAAAATCAAACTTGAGCCTGCGATCATTTGAAAACCAGTACCTTGTCAGCGGATAACTTCAAAAAATACTTGACCTCGATGGGTCGACACCTGAGCCCGCGATACGCTCAAGTGATACTGGTCAGCGGATACCTTGTTTTGACAGCTGTCAATTGATCACAACTTTGATGTCCAATAGGTGTATCAGTTTTCCTGTGTTCCGATCCCAAACTAGCTAAAAAGTATGAGATTGAACATTGTTCGCGACCTCGCGATCTAGTAAAACAATTAACTGGTCACTTCGATGAGTTGACACATGAGCCCGCGATATGGTCATAGGATACTGGTCAGTGGCTATCCTGTTTTGACAGCTGTCAATTGACCATATTGACAATGTCCTATATAAAAGATGAGGACTTGCAAAAACCACGCCTGAGACACCTCTCCCTTCCTTTTGATAGTCTCCCCTACCCCACCCATACAATCTGTAGACGCATACGTACGTACGCTCGGTCAGTCACGTGACAACCAAACGAAAAGAGGTTGACCATATTCCATGAGTATGGGGCTCTGTCCCACGCGCGCTTCGCGCGCGCGGGAGCCCGCTATCATTTAAGGTGTAAATGTAGTAGACACCAAGGTGAGCTCGCTAAGACAAGTGAGGGAAATATATAATTTATTTATACATTTAACAATTATTCTTTGAAATCGAGGTGAATAGTGGCAAAATATTTACCGAGCCGCGAAAGCGGCGAGGTAAATATTCCCAAAGCCACTATTCACCGAGATTGAGAAGAATAATTGTTTTAGTATATACACACGAAGTGATCTCAACAAAATCAGAAAGGAAACCATTCAAAAGTAGGATTTGATTGACAGATCAAATCACGCGTAAGTTTAAAAATAGATCTTTGCAGAATTTTCAAACATGGCAATTCACAAGTTTACTCATTTCGCAAACAACAGCGTAATGGCTTCAATGGAATCGCTAAAAGTTTGAACTGTTTCCTTACCTGAGAAAAAAAGCAGAGCTGTGTTCTTTTCTGTTGACTCGCCAAGTTTATAGCCAAAAGGGCATGTTGTGTCGTTCTTCGCATGAAGTGCTGACAAAAATGGCGGCTCGGTTGCTCGAGGTAAGAGGTCGTCTTCCTGTATCATTCTTTTTCCTGTTTACTTGAAATGTAGAATTTCTGCAAACATTTCCTTTTAAATTTGTTTGTCATAAATAAACTTCGATTTTTGAGCCAAAATTTTCTTCTTAGAAAACGCTGAGTTCACGAAACGGCTTCTTCTACGCGAATACACGGGAGTTGTAAACAATCCATCGAGCACAAAACTCCTGCTACAGTAAATTGAAAAACGCCGTATTGAATCCTTCCAAGTCTTTTCTTGCCTTAAAAAAAGTCAGCCCTAGGATTTTGTCGACTTTTAAAAGATCGTTCTCTAAAAAAACGGGAAAAACACCGAGCTCACACATTATCCACTCGCTAGGAGGTGAATATTGTTGAATAGTCCGAGATAGCGAACCAATCAGATTGCTTAAATCACCAAGATCACTGAGTGTGTATATACTAATTATTTTTATTCATTCCTCACATCAAATAAAAACCACAGATAATAACCTTCCTTACGTCTCCTACCTTGCCGAATGTCCAATTTTTTCAAGAAACAGTTGTTGATCCGGAGTTGCTTCTACTTTTGAAAGGGATGTGTTTTATACCCTCAGTTTACATGGTATCGCTCAAAGTGATAAAGAACAGCTCTTGTATACCAGCAGTCACAAAGTTTCTTGCTAGTGGGTAGACCTCTCCGTATTGTAATGGCAAGTAATAGTAGCTCCGTGACTAATTCTTTCAAAATTCAGCCTTTTTCACCGCCATGAATTTACGCCTTTGCCCTGTATAGTGAATCAAGCTAGGAGTGCAGCTCTTGGATCTTTACACGTAGGTACAGTTAGCATTCATCAAGCAGTAGGTTGTTTACGATTCATGTAGAAATCGTAACTAAAAACAAATCATTTTTCTGGAATGTTCTACTTAACATAGGTTTTCCTTCAGCAAGGCCTCTCAGGTATTCTCCGTACATCTATGGCGTTATAAGGGGTGGGGTGGGGCACTTTCTCGATGTCGTACGGCGAAAAATTTCAAAACGCAAACCTGAAGATTGATTCATTCAATAATTGTGAAGTTAACTCTCTTTCTTTCTGACTCACTGGCGTTCATCGTCTTTTCACTGTAGCTTTGTTTTGTGGTTAATTCTTTCTCATTTCCCTGAAGCCTCAAGGCTCCACGCCTTTTAGAGACGTCCATAGAAAACAATAGAACCGATAAAGAAAACAACTCCTCTGAACGCCATTTAAATTTTTGCCATTTTTCAGATGTTTCTGCAAAAATCACAACATTAGATGTTAAAATTCAAGACTCGTAAGGAACGTTAAGTCTATAGTTTCCATGTAATTATCGGAACTGTCTTTCTCTCATAATGTGCGGTCGAGGTAATCATACAAAATACGCACTTTTGACGCGATTTTGCACGATCTCGGTCGCAATGGTTTGGATAAAACTGATCATGATGTCTCCATGTAGTACTGGTTTCAATATTAATTGTCCCAAAAATCGAGGCCATATTCTTCAATTCCTTCACTTATTTTTCAGGTGGTGTTTCCCTGTCGCTGCTAAGTTGTGCTTTAATTTTCATTTGCATGGAAAATATTTTGTGGTTCAGAGAGTTCACTGAACCAATTACCTTTTATTTGTCTGACCAGCAATGGATCGGTTGTGAGTAGCGTCATTGACTCATTTCCCTCAGGCACTCTCTAAAACAATGTGTTTTGATTTTCTTGTTTTTCGCGGTACATGAAGTCGTACAAAACAAGAATGCCTTAATCTTTTAAAAATATTTTCTCGTTTTTGTTCAACTTCCTTCGAATTCCGACAGAACTCCACCTGCAGGTATCGTATAGAAGCAGTCTAGAGGGGGGTCCTTTGGATCCGATAGGGCCAGATAAATTTTAGTTTCCACTCCGCGAAGACTGTTTTTGGTATTAGACTCTTAACCGTGTTTCTGTAAAGTCCCGTACTTGTTAGCTCTGGAAGCAAAAATAACTAAAGACCATTAACTCTATCGGGGCTTTCGAGCCATTACTCGGGCGCGCACTTTAGTCCCGCGATCTAAGAACAGACAAGGCCCACCCAACGACGGTTTCCTCCTGAGTACATTGAATCAGGAGCCCATAAATACACTTTTTAGACTATCCAGTGCACTTTTAGATATCTGGAAGTGCATTCTAAGTGGGGCTATAAAAATTGTATCTGTTCAGTCATCCTAGGGAAATCTGTGTCTTTCCGAAATAACAAGGTCTTCAGTATTATTTTCCCGAAAATTTCTAGATGCAATTTGAAGGTGTTACGAAAGTACTCCTGATTCCTCTTTCCATCACATTTTAAACTACGAAAATTTTAGTTTTTCTGTTATTGTACGAAAAATAGCCTATCCTGGGTAATGAAATGTAAAAATTAAACTTTAGAAAATCGTAAGGAATATATCAGATAGGCATCGAAAATTGAACACGAATGGAACGGTCATCAACACATTTGTAGCCGTCCACAAGTAATAGTAGCCTGCGTAGCAGGCGCTTGAAACTGATTGGGCACAAGAAAAAACGGGCGCGCGAGAAGGAGACACGCGTGTCTCCCTCGCGCGCGCCCGTTCTCTCTTTTACCCACTACTTCCAAGCGCCTGCTACGCAGGCTAAAGTAATAGAAAAGTCTAGGCAATGTCTGCTCCTCCCAACAGATATTACAGGAAACAGTTGTTGGGTGCCCCTGACAGACGTACGATCGCAACCTGAAACGTAAATCAAAATATACACTACTCCGGCTTTCATCGAATCGAATCTCAAATGTTCCATTTCTCGCGTAAAAGAACATCTTGACGTCAAATATGTAACCAAAATATACAATCAGTTCTCTGTAGCTTTTATTCTTCACTCCATTAAAGCATATTTCTTCACATGTTCATGTTTTAGAATTCTGTACTCTGGTCTACACTTAAAGGATTCATCGACATCAATTCGCGTAAAAATTCGATGATCTAAACTCAATCCACACACTTGATCAGCTCCACGACTCCGAACGACTACACAGTTCTAAGACTCTCGTGCAAAAGCTCAGTTTTCAGATCACGTGACGAGTTTTCCCGCCACAATGACGCAATAATTTCTAACAACATATGAGACACAGTGGCAGCGTTCTGCAATTTTGATCAAGTGAGGTTAAGCAGAAAAATTAGTATATAAAGTACTTTGATTTACCCTGGAGGTAGGAATGGATGGCTGACTCGAATTATTGTGTGCGTCTACAGGCGGCAACCTTTTAGTTCTGTTACACTGACTGGCAAATAAACAAAGTATGTTAGTTGTCGCCGCGCGTAGTTGAGAAGTTGAAACGCTTAAACTGGAGAGGAAAATATCGTGAAGTGTACATCATTCCTGAAACATCAGAAACGGTTAGTACCTTAATCCGCTTTTGAATTAATCCGATTAATTAGACCTCTTTACGATGAAGTCTTCGTCACCAACGGCTGTGTTCTGTAAAATATCTGTTCGGAGAAGCGAAAATTTCCTAAAATTTTCTATGGCTTAAGGAGGGTTAAAAATTTCTAGATGACCCTTCCATTCGTGTACAATTTTCGAAACATATCTAATAATAGCCTGCGTGGCAGACGTTTGGACGGGAAAGGAAAGGGAGTTTTAGGCGCGAGATAAACGCAAGGGCCGGGGCGAGCGAGGAGGGCGGGAAGGAAACGCCTGCCAGGAAACCATTGTTTTCGCCATCCCGCCAAGTAATTATGTATGCAAAAATAACGCAACTGTGAATGACTAGCTGTCAAATAAGTCTGACCGCGATACACTTGTTTTTAGCTTTTGTTTTCCTAGAACAAGATATCTGAAGTGTTGGTACGTTCTATAAAAAAAGTTCAAATGCGGTCGTCCGTTGGAAGAAGAAAGTTGCAACGATGCGTATCTTGTTATATAAAATCCAGCATAAATCTATTTAAGTCGTTTGCTGAAGGAAACGTGCTGGACGTCGCAACTTGAAAGCAATGTTTGTCTGAAAAAAACTTACAGTCAAGCCAGGTCAATGGTCCCCTTCAAAATGCCATTAATAAATTTATTATTCGAAAGTTGAGTCCGTTGGCAGTTGTAGATTTCAGATTCATCTCTACATTCTTGCATGCGTGATGAGCCTTGAATTCACACGCGATTCAGTTACGAAATTTCTACCAGCTCAGTTTCCCTGAATTTGATGTAAATGTCTTCTAAGAGTCTGCATTATACACTCAGTCTGCATTTTACCCCTGGTCCGCAGTCTGCAGTCTGCAGTCCGCAGTCTGCGTTTTACACTGACCGATTCATTTTTCAAGTAATCAATTCAATGATAGAATCTTGGGGGGTACGCTTGACCTGTTTTGACTGTAAAACACTTTGCTGGCTCTCGAACTGGATCCAGCGGAGCATACAAGAGAACGCTGGTAGCGGGGAAAGGAGAGCTGAACTTCGAAGATCTACAAGAAAGCTGCAATCAATTATTAAAGTAAGTTCCTGGCGGCTTTATAACGTCTTTAACCAGCAATACCAAAAATCGTTTTCAACAATCTGGTCGTTGATAGATCTTGATAAAGCGTAGCCTGCGTGGTAGGCGTTTGAGGTCAAACAGCAGATAAAAAGTACACAGCTGGCAGCATGATATTTCCTTTGTTTCTTCTACAGTGAGTAAAACAAGCCGTTGGGAGATGAGACTTCTCAAAACCAGTCAGTAAAACTTTTCTAGCTGACAGATTTTTTCCTCATACGGTTCTTTTAACTGTCTTCTTATATTCTCCACTTCAAGCTGAAATTGATGCCTTCAGTTTCTACTTCTAACGATAAATTCCGTACAGACATCTCATCACCGCTTCACTAACAAAATATTTTTAAATGATTACTGAAAGATCGCTTTAGTTACTCAATGGTAGTCTTTACACTAGAGCCTAAATAAGCTAAGCAATATTTCAAGACAAGTAAATTTTAATTACTTCAAGTAAAATAAAGCTTCAGACACAAACGATTCTTTTTTACTTCAGGCTATTTTCCCACGCAACAAAATTAAGATTGATTGACATGTCTCGCCTTTCTCAAAGCTCAAGAAACCGCAAAACCGCAAGTCAGCTAAGTCGGTCATAAGGATGGTTTTCAAGTCGCTTGAAACTTTCTTGAATCGTCTCAACTTTCCGACTTTAATGAGATGCAAAGCAAAGTTACTTGAGATTTTACTTAGGCCTTCACACACGAATTTTTGGTTAAGTAAAACTTAGCGGCTCTTAAGTCTTACTTAACAGCCTAGTGTAAAGACAACCAATAGCGTGATGTTGATTTCAGCAAATCGGATTAAGGTATTTTAAAAGGCTGTGATTGACATGTTTTGAAGACTGACCAATCAGGATTTTAACATTCGCCTGGTGGATGTTAAAAACGAGAAATACAATGGTCTCCTGGCAGGCGTTTCCTTCCCTCCCTCCGCGCGGCCCTCGCGTTTCTCTCGCGTCTAAAACTCCCTTTCCCTTCCCTTTCAAACGCCTGCCACGCAGGCTAATCTAATGAATTCCCTACGATTTTCTTAACCTTTAACTTTTTGCATTTCACTCCTCAGGTTACGCCCTTTTTCGTAGAAAAAGGAAACCTAAAATTTTCGGATTCGAAAATGCGATGGAGAGAGGAATCAGAAAAATTCTCACTTTCGTAAAACGTCAAATTGCATCTAAAAGTTTCGGGAAAATAATACCCCAGCCCTTGCAGTTTCGAAAAGATTCCAGTTCCCCTAGGATGACCGAACAGATACAAACTTTACAAAGTGGATAGAATGCATTTTTAGAGATCTTAAAGTACTCTGGATAGCCTAAAAAGTGTTTTCAATGCGTTTAGGAGGAAACAGTCGTTGGGTCCCCTTGCTGATCCCAGTCCAACCTTCCGTTGTAAATTGCACATGCAAATTTTCAAATGTGTTTGCTAAAGAGTTTAGCTATAGTACGATGTAGTGCAGTTACCACACTTGTATCGAGACAAAAATTAAATTCCCTCTTTATTTTTCAGCCGTTGCGTTTTCCAGGTTTTCCTTATTTTTTTTCTTCTCTATCATCCGTTAAATCTTATTTACACATGAAATTCTACTGTTAATTCTTATGGCACCGGGATATATATACCGCATCTTTTTATCACCGCACGAGATTGTTGACCTCGGGAGTCCATCTTTTACTGTTGCAAGCCAGTACCACTATAGCCTCCCACGCAGGCGTTCGCAGTGGTAGTAAAATGATAGCGGAGTTCTCGCGAGCGCGAAGGGCGCCTAGCGGAGCATCCAAGAAATTTTGGTAAGACGTAATCGTCTGTACGTCCGCCCCTTCATGTAAGCTGAAGTGAAATTTTGAATTTCGAGCACCCCGCGCGTTTCGGCGGTAAAATTGCGTTGCCGCCCGGACTTTTAGAGAGAAAAAAACAACAACAACCGACAAAAGCCGCGAGTCTTTATTTCGACTAAATTTTAATGTCTATATTAACGTGGGTAACAAGGAAAGAGCTGGAGAGAGAAATAGAAAACGGATGGTGGCCGGGAGCGAGTTAAAATCGTACGCAGAGGAAACGAGGGAAAAAAAACGAGGGGATAGTGGGGGCGAGAGCTCCCTTTTTCCTCTCTAGTCTCTCCCGTTTTTGTTTGTCTCGACAATTTTTCGACCGCGCTCTGCCATCTGAACACCTGAAACAGGCTAGTCACATCACGGTACTAAAATGATATCGAGGAATGTTCCATCACAGTAGTAAAATGATACAAAGGTAGAAAATATTCCATCGCGGTAGTAAAATGATATCAAGGTAAAGAGGAACCATGGTAAGTGGATTCAGTATCACACGGAACATTTGCAGAAGTTCCGCCAAATAAACCATCACGGTAACAAATATTTTTAAAACAAACGGCGCGCCATAAACACCACCCGATGCGCGCGTTGTTTTTAAAGAGTTGACTGTAACAGATTCAGTGAAATCGTTTTCTAATTAGTATCTGTTCCCCCATTCGTTGCAGTCATGGACACGTCTGAAACCGGAACGGAGACTTCTACAAACATTGCAACTACCACCCGACTCACAAACATGCCACGAAATCAGCATAAAAGCTGCCGGCTCAGTCGCCTGGCGCCGCTTATCTGCGTCTTCGTTGGCTGTTCATTGACAGTTGTTGGTCAGGTTGCTTCGCAGAAAAGCTGCGAGATTGCTGGCCCGGTAGTTATTGCTATGGGCGGACTACTTCTTATTTTCCTAACATTTTGGGATTCAAGGAATAAACTTACTGATGACACTTGTTCGGGTGAAGGAGAGGTTGTGAACACGCCTCAAACATTTTCCAACAAATGCCTCAACAATGAAGCAGCTGATTTGGGCTCCATTCATCATTTTGAAATCTTCACTCCGACCGAAGAATCTATTACCGAAATGGTACCTCCTTCATACGAAATAGCGGTGGTCGAAAAGGAAAACACTTCAAAAAAGCCGATGGAACAATGGGAGGTAGACGATAATGGACGAATTAAAAAGCATCCGACTCTACATGCCAAAAAATCCGTTCAGGAAGAAAATTAACAGTGAATTTTCTTAAAAATGATCTGTGGAAAATTGATCCTGAACGCGAAAAACTAAAACTCTTCGTAGACCGTATTCCCGTGAGAGTCATGGTTCCTCGCTTTCGCTTGTTTTATTTCGCGTGACTCGTCAGAGGAGAGGTAGGTAGGGTGCATGAGAGCCGCTTTCCGTTTACCACAGAACTCAGCAAAAAATACAAACAATCTCTTTTATTTTTGTAAGTTATAAACGAACCAACAAGCTGGCCATTCGCTCGCAATGAAGTAGAGACTGACTATTTAATGTCTTCAGTATAGTGCGATCATGCTGAAAGGATGCGGAAGTTTACGCTGAGTTTACTTCTTTGTTACACTTAGGGTGTTTAACGTCACATCCTGCCAAAATAACTACTTTCCCTTTGTCAAAAACGTCATTTTACCACAGGAACGTTTAATACTTTAGAAAGTTATGAAATTTATAAAGTGACGGAAGCCTTAGGTTACCCATTTCAAAAGTGAGAAAACCCACAATTGTCGCCGTGGAGTCGACCCCGGCCCACCGAAATTTATTTTTTTTACGGCAAGGCTATACAAACTCAGTCGAAGAAAGTTTTTTTTTCAGAAAATCGGTCTTATACTTTAACACTTTATTTTTCCTTTGTCTTCCCCTTTTTTTCATTTTTTGGAAAGTTTAACTAACTTCTGTATTTATAGCCGGTAAGAACGTTCAGACTGTAAAATTATCTTGCCGGAAAAACTAAGGACTGACATTTTAGTGGTTGTGAAGTTCAGATTTTCTGTTGATGATTGTTTATTAAATATGATTTTTAAAGTAAGCTACAGTGCCAACCGTAACGTGCCCGTAAGAAAGTTATATTCCATCAATTTCAACTGATGATGGGTGTAATAAAATTAAGAAATCAAGAAACTGTTAGGGGAAAAATAGTACACGTGCTCTATGCAGCTAAGCTGTACTGAGCATAATTCAGAATACATTTGTGGTAATAAACTGAATAGTAAATCAAACCTCCTCGGAAACATTTTTAATAAAAGAGCATCCTGTACCCTGCGAGCAGATCTAGGAAGATCGAAGGGCCTCAGCCCGCAGGGTAAGCATCCCAAGGCTCAACTCAATATCCAGTCACTGTTCTTGACAGCCTCAACTGGAGTCATTTTATTTGCGCTAACTTCTGAATCTTTCCAAGCTTATTTTCTCAATAAGTAAATAGTTAGTATAACTTTAGTTGCTTGATTTAAAACTTCCTGTGTTGCTTAACTGTCGCTCTGTTGTGGCTTTTCCGCGTGGCTCTCCTCAACCATTTTTTCCTTTCCTGTTTTTCTGAGTAATTTTAAAATTCGTGCCTTCTCACACATCATATTCTGCTGAAATATTATAACCCTCTTCAGTTTCTCGAAGTTGAATCACGTACGATTGTAATTGGCAGTCAGTTTTGCAAATCATAATATAAAAGTGGTATTGGCTCTGGTTTTCCTATCTATAATAGTCTCATCCTGTGTTCAGAACCACCAATACTGCATGTGTAAGTTATGGTCCAACGAACCAAGTGTAATTTATCCTGTAATTAAATTGATGTTACCCATCACATGGAGCGTATCTCTTATCATAGTAACTCCTGATGGCTAAGATTTCTTTTCTATGAAGTTGATTTTCTTAAAAAATATAAGAAATATGATGAATTTCATTACATCACCCGAACGACCCATATTTATGGAACATGAAAAACAAAGGTGGTTAGAATAATTACATTTCATTAACCTTAGGGCGCTTTTCATTTGTCAGAACCAGGGCGGATAAAGGTTATCCGCCCTGGTCAGAACTGGCAGGCGGCCAGACAGTGCCTTCTCGACAAAAAAGGAATTTCACCGTTAATCAAAACTATTCGGCCAGATTAGTCAAATCCTAAATAATGTGCAGGAAGGCGATGGTTTTTCGGCAAAAACCCTTGGGAAAAGCCAACTTCATCGTCAAAATGACTGGTCCAGCCGGCCAGTTCTGACATATGGAAAGCGCCGTAAGAGAACAATTCCCTTTCTTCTGTATAAAAAGTATTTAAAGGTCTTTAAAGACACGACGTTTAATATTGATATTTATTTTTGTAACTGTATTATTTTGTTAAGACACGAGTTTCCCGAAGAAAAAGTGTCCTTTAGCTTATCTTGTTGTGGATTTATTTACATGCTACAGACCTAACTGTTCAAACCGATTCACAACGAATGAATCATGATCAGTTTTATAGTTTAGACTCTTGTTTAGGCGATATATGATCCAGAGGGCTGCCCTATAATAGACGAAAGAGAGAGAGAGAGATGGGAAACAAAACTTTTTACGGGCATGGCCTAACTTGAGCTTGTGAACATCGACACTGTTTACGGCTTGCTCATAATCAAGACTCCTTTTATTTTTTATGTCATTTTGAGATAATTGTCAGCAATTCTTTTTCAGTTCCACTTTTTAAAAGTTGGCTGATGTTAACAACTGATAATTTTCATTTAACAGAGGAACCAGTTCTCCCTGAATAGCTCCTGTTTTGGGGTAGCTATGGTGAATCCTTGCTGACTTCACGGTTCCGTATCATTGAAAACAAGCCATAAAAAAATGAGTTTTTTGTTGACGTTATATATAATTAGCTTAGTTATATTTTTTTCAATTCGCTTGACCCTCAGTATCAATCTACTTGGCTTTTATTCACGCAAGTAGTGAAATCAGTTAAGTGTTTAGTTCTGTTCAGTGACTAAGCATTTTCACCAAAGATGTCAACTCGTAGATCAGGGGTTTTTCGCGTCTTTATTAGGACCTAACCTGAGATCAGGGTCTATATTCGATGGCGCACAAAGCGATTAGCGAAAAGAAAGCCCAATTTAAGCGTGATCATCGAGAAGAACTGCTAAAATTGGGTCTGCTTGAGTCTTAATTTATTATGACCAAACAACATTCAAAAACTTAAATATGTTGATATTTAGACGTGTGTAAGCCTTAGGGTGAGAAAGGTATACTGGGTGAGCATATCTTGGCTTTTAAACCTGTAGACCTAATTTAATAGATATTTTGTTCTTTCTTATGAAAGTCGGGATGCTACAACTGACATATCATATTGTTGTCAAGGGTAAGCCCAAGACAGTTGCAAACCAGTTGCTATGTTCAACTTAGTCGAGACGATTTGTTGTAAAGAAATAGTTTCAAAATATTTTTCTTCGAGATTCAAAAAGAATAGGAAATACGTCAGATATACGATATTACGAGTTGAACAGTCCAAACAAACAAACTGGGTGTCAAAGTTCATCATCAATTAATGATTTTATAAAAATAATAAAGATCCTGTGTTTAAACCCACCAATACTGCATGTGCAAGTTATGGTCCAACGAACCAGGTGTAATTTATCCTGTGATTAAATTGATGTTACCCATCACATGGAGCGTATCTCTTATCATAGTAACTCCTGATGGCTAAGATTTCTTTTCTATGAAGTTGATTTTCTTAAAAAATATAAGAAATATGATGAATTTCATTACATCACCCGACCGTTCGGAAGACGATTTGAGATCTAGAATTTTCGGAACATTTTTTGTATAATTTCTTCCTTGCCTACCTCTCCTAGGATTTTCAAACATCTAAAAAATGGTATAATTGCCCATTGTTAACGGATTTTTACCCTAAAAAGGTCACCTAGAATTTTCGGGAGTCGTTTTTTCTGGCTGAAACTTTCGAAAAGGTAAGTTTTGATTCCTATAATTTGCGGATCACTATACCTTCTGCTAGGAAATCCGAACAGATGAAAAATTTTTAGGGGATAAAAATATGCCTATATCTACCGTTTAAATACTAAAGTACGTTTAACAATGCTATTTTTAAGTGGTTTTGAACTATAATCTCGTTGGGTGCCCCTGTTTTGTTGCTTTCATTTACCACTCGCAAACGTACGTCCATGGCCTCTCGTGCCATTTTTTCAAATTTCTTTGAAGCACAGTGAACTCAAAAACCATCCACAATTATACCTTTCGGGATTGTCGCGTACACTTTTTGCGAAAACGTTTCTCGAAATAGCTGTATATGCATAAACTCGTCTGATGGCCTAGTACGTATCAATGAACATCTCCACGTGATCGTGAGTTGTTGCGCGAAAGTTAAAACGAGGGCAAAAAAAGATTGAAGGGGAAAGGGAGGGGAGGAAGGTGACACTTTTCGGTCTTGATAAAGTCGTCATAGACAGTAACACCGGATTGCAGCGATTGAGCGGTCACTGTTTACTTTAAGATACAACCTATACCTCTATGTGCTAATGTGGAGGACGGATATGATTTCAGGCCATAGATTTCAGGCCATAGTGCTTATTCGAGGCTGGGCGCTTATTAACTTTTTCTGCCGTTAGGTTGGGCGCTTATTCGAGGTTGGGCGCTTACTCGGATAAATATATGGTATGTGGAGGGCGTAACATACTTTGTCTTAAGATACCTGACCACATTTTTTATTGGAAGGGTAATTAAAAAATCACCCGTCTGTGAAGTTATTCAACCCTCCGAATGAAGAAATTCTTACAAGTTTAGTTTAGCTTCTTTGCTACAACAATTAATTAGGACTGGAATAATTTAAGTGATTCTGTGATTGAATTTGAATCATATAATGGCTTGAAACGAGCCGTGAGTAATTTAGTCATCTTATTTGTTATAACAAGAGTATAGATTATGGTTTTTAGTATCATTTATAACTATAACTATTTAATTTATTTATGATATATTTATAAGTAACTTGATTATTTAAATGGTATCACGTGTATTATGTAAATACTGATGCAGTTTTTCATTGCTTTTCATTATTTCAAGACTGTAAGCTCCTGCTGACCATATCTATGTAATGGGAAACGTTATAGATTTAAGTTGTAGATGTATAGATTTAGAAAATGAATTGGGACGAGAACGATTTCTTTTTCATTTAAAATATCCTGCGAGAACATCAGTTTCTCCTCGCTCCTCGCCGCTGGGGACGTTTCACGTTTCACGAGGAG